ACCAAAAAAGGAAAGAAAAAAAAAAAACCATATATATAGATAGATAGAGAGAGGGTATCTGACAATTAGGAAAAGACACAAACATGTGCATCTTTGTTTTCAGTGGCACGACAAATCTGTTATCATCCCTCTTGGACTGTCATTGTCTTTAAACATAGGGTCTCCTTACAACTTAGCCCTTCTCAGGAGATCTTCATTGTAGACAAAAAGTTTCAGGTAAAGAGACGTCCTCATTTCCAACCATGTCGGAATGATGAACAAGTGTGAACCAAACACTAGTAGATCGAAGTTTCTATTCCTCATCTGTAAAATAGAAAGAGTAATGCCACCTGTTCTAACTTCCTTTGTCGTCTTGTTGTAAACTATACATGTTCAGGAGCTTTGAAAACATAATAATGTTCACGAGATTTTAAAACAGACTTAGGGGGAAAGAAGTCACATACTTTTCAGAGCCAGAGAGATGGGTTCAAAATTTAGCCTTACCACCTACTAACTTCATGATTTCTGGCAAAAAGTTTCATCTAGTTGAAATTTTTATATAAAATGATCATAAAAACTTCCACCATATAAAGTGTGGTAAGGATTAGAATGCTAAAATAATATATTATGAACCTGGTGCATGGTAGAGTTTAATACAAAAGGACTAGAAGCAGCATTAAGGGGCTAGATCGAGAAATAACCTTCCAAAGGTGCCTTCTCCCTCAGCTAAGCCTCCTAAATTGAGGCAAATAGGGAGTGTAAGGGCCAACCCCATAGCACAATGGTTGAGAGAGTCAGATCCCACATGGCTGACCACAGTTCAAGTCCTGAACTGTAACTTAAAGAACACATACGACACATGTGCGTTTGTGACCCAAATCTGAATGGGATGGAGAGAAATGAGAAAACAGTATTGAGATGTGACCATGCCCCATGGGGGATGCTGTTTTTCTCCCTGGTTAGCACAAATGTACCTCTGCCAAAAAAGCAGGAAGGAAGGGGGGGGCGGGGAGAGAGAGAGAGAGAGAGAGAGAGAGAAAAGAAAGAAAAGAAAAGAGAAAGCTGGTTATTTTTCAATTTTTTTTAGATTTTTTTTTGTTTGTTTTTTTTTTTTGTTTGGTTGGTTTTTTTTTTTTTTTTTTTTTTTTTTATTGGGGGGCTGTCGCCAGACAGAGAGAGAGAGAATGAGCCAGAAAGCAAGAAATCACTCCCCAGGGGGGATGGCCATGCCGTAATCCCTTCTCCTCCATACTCTTCTCGGGATCTTGGGCATGCACGCACATGCTCCCAGCGTGAGTTTTAAGCCACCAGGTCTGGGACGCGAACCGCGGTCGACTACATGGGAGTCCAGCTACATAGCCATTACGCTAACTGCTGGTCCCAAGGCTGGTTATTTTTTTTGAAAGAATGCCCATCCAATTTGAGAGTCTGATATTTTTAAGTTTATTATTTAAAGTATCTCTAAAGAAAATCCTCAAACTTCAAATAAGTTTTGTTTTGTTTTGTTTTGTTTTTGAGAGGTTTTCACTATAGGGCGCGTGCGCTCGCCAGACAGACAGAGAGACATAGAGACAGAAAGCGAGAAACCACCCCCCAGGGGGCATGGCCACGCCGCAATCCCTTCTCCTCCATTCTCCTCTCGGGATCTTGGGCACGCACGCACACACGCCCAGCATGAGTTTTAAGCCATCGGGTCCGGGACGCGAACCGCGGTAGACTACATGGGAGTCCAGCGACATAGCCATTACGCTAACTGCTGGTTCCCCAAATAAGGTTTTTAGATGTATCACTTTGGGGACCAGCAGATGGTATACTGATTATGTTGTTGTACTCCCACATGGTTGACCACAGTTTGAGTCCCAGACCTGGTGGCTTGAAACACTGGGTGCATGTGCATGTGTGCCCAAAATCCTGAGAGGAGAATAGAGAAGAAGGGATTGCAGTGTGGCTATCGCCCCAGGGGGTGATTTCTTGCTTTCTGTCTCTATGTTTCTAGCAAATGCATGCCCCCTATAGCAAAAAATTTCTCTTTTTTTTAAAAAAAAGGTATATTACTTTGTGATGAAGGGATTTGCTGTAATTATTTTGTTTTATTCACATACTTTTATGATCCAACCAGGGATACCAGGCAGACTTGTTGATAGTGTCCATAAGAGCTTGGTACTGGTATAGAGGAAGGTGTCCACATTGGTGTCCTTGCAAGCACTCTCTCCAGGCCATAGGGAAATAGCACAATTAGTGGTGCTAAGGATCATGTAAGGTTAAGAAGGAAGGTTGCTCTGAAGCCTGATGGCACCTCATTTTCAGAATAGCAGAACAGCAAGGCTTACTGAAGACATGGGGAGCTGCTGTTGGGTTGTTGGTCCTTTACTCTCAGCAATTAAGCATTTGAGACATAGTCTATTGTCTCCTTTAAAAAGAGGAACAAAAAAGTCTCCACAATCTTTTATCTTCCCAATGTCTAGCTCATACTTTTATTTTGAAAATGATGTTTTTAGGTCCTCCATTTTTTGTAAACTTCTTTTCAGGCAGTTAAAGTCTTTGGGGAGATAGTCTTTTGAAAAAGAGATTGCCCCATTCTTTCCCTCCTAGAGTTTGCAGAGTTGATGTGTTGCTATCCTTGCAGGTGATAGTCCCAGGAACCCGGGAGTGATTTTATAGTCTTGGGCAGATGGTGCCATGTGGCCTGCTTTTCCATTGGGATCTCTTTATAGGGGGTATGTATGTTCAATACCATGTGAAAAGAGAGGGGAAAAAAAAAAAAAAAACCTCACAAGATGACATCTCAGTGAAAACCTATTAGGAAGAAGGTGGGGCTGGCAGACAGGAAGAGCAGAGGCAGAGGCTTCAGGGAGTCTGGGGAGGAGGCAGCCTGTCAGCCAGTCGTTTGTTGATCAGTTCTGAACAAAGAGCAATCTGTAAAAGGGAATCAGGATGTTTCCAGTGAATTTTTTTGCCCTAATAGCTTCAGGGTGAGTGCATTATCAAGCCATGTTTGATTGTGGAGTGGTAGAACCCTTTCCAGCTAGGGAGAAAGCAGTCTAGTGAGGTTGTGCTCTGAGTCCATTTTAACAGATTCTGTGATGGGTGGTTCTGAATCTGTGGCCACAGCTGTGGCCTCATTTTGTTAGGGCTTAACCTATGAATGGATCTTTTATCTCTTCTGTATTTAAGGCCACAGGATTCAGCCTTCACATTCAATCAATCTATACTAGTAATCTTGGTAATATGTGTATAGCAGCTCGGAGTAAAGGAAGCTTCATGAACTATCAAGAGGCTGAATAGCATCACTTTTTAGAATATAAGGCCACGTGGAAAGAGCATTTGCTAAGAGTCAACAAACTGGATTTCAGTCTCCACCATGCCTCCTGCTAGCAATGGAACCTTGTTAGGCAAGTTCTTGGGGATTTAGGGGGAATGATACCTGCTATAAATCTATTATGTATACTGTAAATCTATGAGCCTCATTGGATTTCTGTGAGGATTAAATGATAATGGAGAAAAGAGCCTTAAAGACTTCAAAGATGCACTTTCCAATTGGTAGCTACTACCTGCATGTGGCCATTTAAGTTTGAATTAATTAAAATTAAATAAAATATAAAACACAGATCATCAGTTATACTAGCCACACTTCAAGTCCCCAGTGGCCACCTTTGACTAGTGGGTACCACATTGGACAACAAAGATACATAATATTTGCTTTATCACAGAACGCTTTATTGGTTAGGTCTGCCTCAAAGTGCCGTCTGAGATATGGTATTATCAGGTATGTAAAAATGGCACACTGGAGGGATGACAGATGTCATACTTAGGGATCATTGGAAAGAAACAACCCACTCGAGTTAGCTGAAATTAAATAAGAGATTTAACTAATCCAGGAAAAGTAAATGGATCCCCAATGCAGGAAGCACCAGAAGGCTTCTAGAAAAATTGAAACAGGGGCCTAAAAGATTATCAGGAACTAAAGAAGCCACTCATCTCTTATATCTCTGTCTCATTTGTCTTCCTGTCCCTGTAGCAACTTGGGCCTTTGTCTTTGTTTTTCTGTATGTCAGTAGATGCTGCCTCCTCCACCACTTCCTCCTCCTTTTCCTTTTTCTTCTTCTTTTCCACACCCTGCTCATCCCCAGGCTCTGCAGACTGGCTTTCTCAACTACACTTCCTGTGGTCGAGATAGGACTCAGCCAGGGGACCAGCAGTTAGCGTAATGGCTATGTCGCTGGATTCCCATGTAGTCGACCGCAGTTCGCGTCCCAGACCCGGTGGCTTAAAACTCACGCCAGGTGTGTGTGCGTGCGTGCCCAAGATCCTGAGAGGAGAATGGAGGAGAAGGGATTGTGGCGTGGCCATCCCCCCTGGAGGGTGATTTCTCGCTTTCTGTCTCTCTGTCTCTGTCTGTCTGGTGAGCACGCGTGTCCTATAGCAAAATCCTCTCCAAAACAAAACAAAACAAAAAAGATAGGACTCAGCCAGACCCAGTTTTTATCACCTCTCATGGGTAATGCCCAACAAAGGTTGGCACCTGATCCCAAATTCCTAGGAGAGACATTCTTATTGGCCAGCATGCTGTGATAGCCACTCCTGCTCCCATCAACTGTGTCTGGGAGGATGGGGCTAGTGGCCCCATGCTTACTCAATCTAGACAGTACAGTGTGGGGCTCTAAAAGGAGCATCCATGGGATAAAATCAGGTCATTGACTAATGCACTTGTCCTTAACACCTTAGAGAGGTCCATTGACTTACAATTATGCAGAGAAAAGCCAGCAAAGATAAAGGCCATGAAGGAAAAAAACCAGCAAAGACAAAGGCCATGAAGGAAAAGAGTGGGATTTCTTTTCTTTAGTTACTTGTATGGTTCCCCTCAACACTTCAGATTCACAGCACAGTGACTTAACCTTCACATCCATACACCTGGGTGGAAGTGGGCACAGCCAGGGACACAAGGTGAAATCAAGTCTAAGCCTTTGCCATTTCTTAAATGCAACTGGACTCACGAGTTCTATTTTCTCTTCTGCCTTTAGGAAAGAACATGAGGTTCCCTTGGAAATCATTTAAGAGGAAGATGGAAGGGACCATTTAAAAGAGGTTTAAAGCTGCAGGCTGCAACACTGGGGCCTGAGGGCTGGCAGTGGAAAACCCTGTTGGGCTGTGATCTCTCACTAAGAAGTTCCAAGTGCCTTTTTGCTTCCTGCAAAAGAAAGGAAGAGAAGAAGACCATGTCTATAGCCCTGAAGCAGGTGTTCAACAAGGACAAGACCTTCCGGCCCAAGAGAAAATTTGAGCCTGGCACACAGAGGTTTGAGCTGCACAAACGGGCTCAGGCATCCCTCAACTCGGGTGTGGACCTAAAGGCAGCCGTGCAGCTGCCCAGCGGAGAAGACCAGAATGACTGGGTGGCAGTGCATGTGGTGGACTTCTTCAATCGGATCAACCTCATCTACGGCACCATTTGTGAGTTCTGCACTGAGCAGACCTGCCCTGTGATGTCAGGGGGCCCTAAATACGAGTATCGGTGGCAGGATGACCTCAAGTATAAGAAGCCAACTGCACTGCCAGCTCCCCAGTACATGAACCTTCTTATGGATTGGATTGAGGTCCAAATCAACAATGAGGACATATTTCCAACATGTGTGGGTAAGTCCATGGCCAGCTTCCTGTTATTTTGTCACACCCATTCTCAAGTTCAGAAAATTTACAAAGCATTCATTCTTCCAGAACTGCCTTTGAATGCTAGCTAGCACCATGTCAATGTTTCCCTAAACTCCATCACTTATATACCAGTAGTTTCTTTCACCATATTTAAGAACTTGATTGAAATGGAAAAAAAAAAATCATTTATAGACCACTTAAAACTATTTCATGGATCCCGGTGGTACACATACCACATGCTAAGGAACCTGGTCTTGGTGAAATGTTAGTTTGATCCTGTTGGCTTCTATAGGATAGAACCCCAAACCTACCCACTGATTCTGGTAAGATTTTTTTTTTTCTTTAGGCAGGGTCTTGCTGTGGCAATAAACATGCTTTGGCCACCTTGCTGGGGCTATATACATTTGCTACCATGTCATCCATCTTTTTCAGAAAGGATCTTGCTATGTTTCCAGGCCAGCCTCAAGCTCAGGGTCTTCCTGCTTCAGCCTCCCAAACTGTTGGGCTTACAGGCACCTGCCACTGTGCCTGACCCTTAGGTCAGCCGAAAGTCAAAACCAGGCCTCCCCTGTGGTCTCAGCCTTTGGAGCACAATGTCTTAGCAGCATGCTCCATTACGGCTGAACTAATGTTTGTTTTTTTACTTAATTGACTAAAGTTTTGACTCTGGTTCAGTTGATGGTATTCATCTCTCAGGATTAAGAAAACCCAGTGTGAGAATCTATGAATTTGTTTGAAGATCAAATAAAAAGGGGTTTGCATTTTGGGAAAATAAAAACATGCATTCTCCTTGTTCTCCTAGTCATGGGTCATTAATTCCAAGCTGTACTGTTCACCTGGGATCGATCCTTGCAGAGCTGCTGGACTCACTTGGACTCTTGAAATGCAAATGATTTTATTTGCTTTGTGCTGCAGGCCATAAAATGCAAGAAGGACCTTTCTTTCTTTCTTTCTTTCTTTCTTTCTTTTTTTTTTTTTTCCAGAGAGTACTTATGTTTGCCAAAGAGGAAGAGAGAGATAAAGCATCCCCCAAAGAGAGAGAAAGCATCTCCCAATGGGGCATGATTGCACCACAATCTTTTTTCCCCCCTTATTTCAGGATTTTGAGTACCCATGCACATGCACCTGTCATGCTTTTTAAGCTGCCAGGACCAGGATTTGAACTGCAGTCTGCCAAATAGGCTACAGCTCCCTTAACCTTAGCTGCTGTACAGCAGAGCTGGCCCAGGACCAAACCTTTTCTGTATCTTATATTTCTTTATGGTGCTTGTCATTGGATTTCTTATACACTGATGGGCTGAATTTAGAATTCAGTGTTTAATGCTCTAAGTGCAATACGAGTAAGCAATCTCTGTTTCCACAATTCTGTCTCCAGTGTCTTGCACAGTGCCCTGGGACCTGTGTAGGCACTCAGGAAATACTTGTGGAATGGTTAAATAAATATTCATGACATTGGAAAGTATTATTTAAAAGCTCTGAGATGGTTGTGTTACAATGAAAGTATTTGAAACACAAGGTTGAAATCACCTCTAGATGGGGAGGTGTGTCCCCACACGGTAGATGGAAAGTTGAGAAGGGATGTATGGAAGTAATTAAGTTTATAACAGATGGAAGAAAAGTGTATAAATGGATTGGGGCTGTGTATCCATCTTGAAACTTTCAGGACATAAACCACTTGTCTGAATCCTGGTGTTGCTGTGACAGGCGCAGTTTCTTATGCTCTCTCTGGTACCTTGTTAACAGGAAGGAGGTGAGGTGTGTGGTAGGGCAGTGCCCTCAGTTCGCAGTGAAGGAGGAAGAAGGAAGTTTCAGAAACTCCTCTGGGCATATATTAAGCAAACCAGAGGGGTGGAAATTCTTGGTTTGTGTCTCTTTTGCACTTTCCATTGACTGAGGCTACTTTGGGATCTGTAAGGAATTTTTCCCCCTTTCAAGCAACTGCCAATGTTTTGTGCAGAACATACGATAGCAATAAAGATAAGTAAATATGGTCCAGGATATCCCTTCTTCATCCTTGTCCTTGGGTCTGCTTCTGGATTCTTTGATCTCCGGGCACTCTTGCCCTCTCTGGCAACTGTGGTTACCACATAGAATTGCTGACCAGAAATCACAGCCCAGAGTCAGACTTGAGAGTGAGGAAGCACCTCACAGACAGTGTGCTTGGAAAACAGAGCAACATAACAGCTTTAGACTTTGCTTGGAGGAAATCACTGGATGTCTCTGTATCTTCCAGACAAAAATGACTTTGCTTTCTTTTTCTAGACATTCCATTAGTTATTCAACCTATTTAGGGAACAAGCTCACTAACCAGAATCCTGTCTAGCTCTACCCATTCCATGCTTTATGGCACACTCGTATTCTGAGAGGTCTTAATGAGAACACTGGGAATTTTCTTCCCCATGGAAAAATAACTTTGGGAAATGCTGAGTAAATTGATTTCTTTATTACAGGACTTTTAATATGCCAGTGGGTATTATGAATTTCCATGAAAAGAATATTTTATGTGTGCTATTTTCTAGTTTGACCCTGGTCAAACCATTAGTATCTTTTGGGAAATGTTAAATTAAGCTATATAAATTAGAGTTGTTAAACTTTTGGTCAGATCAGAATTACTTGGGCCTTCTGTTCAAAATGTGAATTCCTTGATCCTCTCCCATGACAACTAAATCAGAACGTCTTCAACGAAACCTAAGACCCATACCTTTTAAAAACTAGTCACCAGGTTGTATAATTGATCTCCTAAACATACTCTCCCTGTGTAACTGAAATTTTCTAACGGTTGACCAGCATCTTCTCAAACCCCACTCCTATTCCCTTCTACTCTCTGCTTCTTTGAGTTCAATTTAAGAGTCTTCACATAAGTGAGATCATGTGGTATGCATCTTTCCACACATGGTTCATTTCACTAAATATAATGTCCTCCAGGTTCATCCACATTGTTACAAGTGAGAGGGTTTCCTTTTTTTAAGAAATCCTGAAGTATAGTTCTATTGTGATTTGCTTTATCCATTCATATACCTGTTGGCTATTTTTATGTCTTCTTTAAAGAAGTGTCTCTTCAGATCTTCTGCCTATTTTTAGTTTGTTTTCTTACTATTGAATCATTTCACTTCCTTATGAATCTTTACTTTCATTTTGAAAGTTTATTTATTTATTTATTTATTCCATGAGTGAGAGAGAGAGAGATCCACAGTAGGGTCCCAATGCCACAATTCATCCCCAGCCTTCAGAGGGCCCCAGATCATGGGTGAACACTCTGCACACTGACAGTGGTCTCTGTACTTGAATTGAGAATCTTGCCATTTGAGACGATCTCACAGAGTGTTGCATTTTACCCTGTGTCATCATCTGTCCCCTGAACCTGCACTGTTAATAAGCACCCACTATTCCTTTGTTTATTGTAACCACCCAGAAGACATTTTATTTCCCCCAGAAACAGATAATTTCTTACCTTTCTAGTTTTATCCATGCTGTTCTCTCTTCTAATCACTTCCCTTCTCTGTCTAGTGAATTCTCCTGCATCCTTTTCGGTCCAGCTCAGTTACCATGTCCTCTTTGTTATGGTGATTTGTGAAAGAATTCACACTCAGAGTAGGTGAATAGAAAAGGTTTACTATTCACTTTCCAAGGGAGGCAAGGGGCAGTTGTGGAGAGTTGTACAGTCCTGGAGGGTAAGGGTATGGACTTTTAAAGGAAAAGAATTCAGTTTGGGGTGATTAAGTTGGTCTTAAGGCAGGATTCCAGGGAGCCAACAGGTGGCATAGTGGTTAAGCTTCTGGACTCCCACGTGGTCAACCAGACCCAGCAGCTTGAAACTCACAACGGGCACATGTGTGAGTGTGCCTAAAACCCTGAGAAGAGAATGGAGGAGGGATCGTGGTATGGCCATCCTCCGGGGTGGGGCTGGGGGTAATTCCCGCTTTCTGTCTCTCTGTCACTCCAGTGAGTACATGCGCTCTGTAGCCAAAATCTCTTTAAAAAAAATAAATAAAGACAGGGTTCTAGATGATCTTTTACAACATCTGGGTGTTCAGTTATCTGTAGGTGAGTCTGGCATCTGTAATAAGATCAAGCAGCCCTCCTTTCAGAGAAATCTTCCTCTGGTCCAAGGAATTTCCCCACGGGGGCATGTCCTCACTCACTGGGACTAGCCTGACTGGGTTTGATCCTTTAGGCCTTTCTCTCACCCTGCCTAGGGTACTCAAGGTTGCTGGGAGACCTGTCCTTCCCTTCAGCCCAAAAGACAAATATCCAATGATTGATCCCTAAAACAAAGGAAATGTCTGAGTCATGTGGGGAGCCTTGAATGTGCCCCTCCCATTAATATGCCAGGAAGGTACTGAATGTGTCCCTTCACTCAGTGAGGACTTTCACCCTTTACATACCCATTGGACTTCAAGCTTCTTAAAGCTATGAAATATATTTTGAATTCCCATTTGAATATCCCAGCACCAAAACCAGTCCTGCTGCCTTGTAAATTGTTGGATGGATGAATGGATGGATGGATGGATGGACGGATGGATGGATGGATGAAAAGATGATCTTTAGAAATTCTTAACATGTACACAGCATTGGTAAGCACAGCCAAGTTAAACACATGTCTCTGAATCCCTTTGTTCCTGTTCCTGGATATTTCCTGCAGCTTGCTTCCATAGAGTTTTTTTTTTTTCTCTGTTTAACTTTTCCAAGGCAAAATATCAGTGATCAGCAAAAATCATCACCTCCTACTACATCACTATGAGGATCTTTCTCAGCTTCCTGCTCACCTTTGTGATTTTCCTTCGGATGTTATTATCGGTGTATTTTAGAATAACCCATTTTTAGAGCCACTTTCTCTGTTACGTACACTCCATTTCCTCCTCTTCTTCCTCTCCCTGGTTTCAGCCTACTTTTCTTCTTTTTGATCTTTGGGCTGTTATGAGTCATTATGGAATTGATCAAGATGTCTGTCAGAATAAAGTAAAAGAAGAATTCTAGGCAAATTG